AGGTAAGTATAGATCCCAATTTCTTCGGTCCTTCTTGTCCGCCGCCAATTTTGCAATAGTATTCACAAGAGTTTGGTTCATCCGCTCGCACATTCCATTAACTTGAGGTCGATGAGCCGTCGTCGTAATTCCAGTACACCCAATATTCTTCAAAAAGGCCTTGATATGATAAGAGACAAAATTGGATCCACGATCAGATAACAAATACGTAGGTACACCAAAATCCTTGACAATGCAGTTGAATAGAAAGGAAGAAGTAGTCACCTCGTCAATGCTTGGTACTGCTGCAGCCACGGGCCACCTAGTCAAATGATCGATTGCCACCAACAGATACTTGTTTCCATTCGCCGTTTCCTCTAATGGTCCCACAGCATCAATTCCAACCATAAAGAAGGGTCGAGAAGGAGTTGGTATCGGATGTGCCAATTCATGCTTGAGTATTCGCTTCTTTGCCCGCCTCTGACAGACACCACAGTTTTTCACCACTTCCCGGACTTGATCATATAACTTGTAACCTTCATACTGGAGCCGCAACTTGATCCATGTATTCTTCAAACCCATATGACCTTCTTCATGCACCATTTTAATAACACCTTCCGCAGTTCCTTCATGGAGTACTTCTTGAGCTGCCACCAGAGTCTTCTTGCCATCCACCACAGTTTTTCGCTTGATAAAGAGTTTGTTGCCTTGAATAATATAACGTCGAGAAAGGTTTCGTATCGTTTTCTTGTCAATTGAAGTGTCGCATCCCAAAGGGTATGTCTTGTCAGTGAGGTAATTCTTGATTGCTATATATCGTGCTAAGTCCATGTTGTAAGTTGTTGTTGTTGTTGTTGTTGTTGTTGTTGTTGTTGTTGCTGTTGTTGTTGTCCAATATCAATAATACATCCAATAATAATAATAGTAAATAATAAAATATAATATATGTATCCCAAATAATAATAAGTGCCCACCCTACCAACCATGTTTTTTTTTTTTTTTTTTTTTTTTTTTTTTTTTTTTTTTTTTTTTTTTTTTTTTTTTCATTTTTTTTTTTTTTTTTTTTTTTTTTTTATTTTTTTTTTTTTTTTTTTTTTTAAAAAAAATAAGTCATCACCATTCAAAATCTAAATCACCACAGGCCGCCGCCAAAGAATCATGATCGTCATCAACATCATCTAGTTCTTGTTGTTCACCTACTAACCGAGACAGAGCATCCGCCGCATTGAGTGTACCTTGTCGATACTTGACCACATAATCATATTCCATGAGAGATAGAGCCCATCTTGCTAGTTTTGGTGTTAGTTTTTTGTTGTTGAATATATATACAAGTGCTGAATGGTCCGTGAATAAACTGAACGTCCGCCCAGCCAAGTAGTGTCGGAAGTGAGTTACAGCCCAAACCACCGCCAAAGCTTCCAAATGTGTTGCTGAATACCTAGTTTCGGGTTCCTTCAATGACCTAGAGGCATAAGCTATCACAGTTTCGCCCTTGCTTGATCCATCCGGAGATTGGGATAGTATGGCACCAAGTCCTTTCGCCGAGGCATCCGTTGTAAGTATTTGCACTTGTTCACGATCAGGATACGAGAGAATTGGACTACTTGTCAACCTTGCCTTGAGTTCGTTCCACGCCATCACTTGATCTTCCTTCCATTCAAAAGCAGTCGTCTTCCGAATCAACCGAGTAAGTGGTTCCGCTATCCTTGCAAAATCTTGTACAAATTGTCGATAATAACCCGCCAAGCCCAAAATAGATCTAACGTCATCCTTGTTCTTCGGTTCTACAATCAAATCCAGCTTCTTGATGTTGTCATCCAAAGGTTGTATTCCATCTACCGTGATATAGTGACCAAGGTACCGAGTCTTCGACTGTCCAAATGCACATTTCGCCATCTTGAATCGTAAATTGTAGGACATACATTGTTCGAGCACCATTGTAATGTGATCCATATGTTCATCCAAAGATCTTGAGTAAATGATAATATCGTCGATAAAAACTTGTACGAATTCACCCAAAAACGGTTGCAAAATAGTCGCCATCATTCGCTGATATGTGGAGGGAGCACCAGTTAACCCAAACGGCATTACAAGATATTCAAACGTACCAAACTTTGTTGTGAAACCGGTCTTCTTGATAGAGTCGTCGTCCAAAGCAATTTGCCAAAAGCCACTAGCACAATCCAATGTTGTAAAATATTTCGAGCCACCAAGAGAACCAATCAATGTATCTAGATGGGGCAATGGGTAAGCATCCTTCACAGTGATTTTGTTCAGCCTTCTATAATCGGTACACATGCGGAGGGACCCATCCTTTTTTTTTACAAACACCAAGGGAGAAGTCCAAACACCATCGGAGGGCCTAATGATCCCGTCTTGTAGTAATTCATCCAAGGTCTTCTTCAGATGATCGTCTTCTTGCCATGTGGTACGATACGGTACACTTTTGATGGGAGTATTGGTCACCGTATTGATATCGTGCTTGAATCCATGCACCCTGCCCAGTCCAGCCGTTTCCACAAATACCTTATCAAAGTACTGTTCCAACACATTCCATATCACCGAAGGCACCGCTTCTCTTTCCACAAAATCACACAATCCCTTTTTTCTACCTTCTTCCGCACATCCTAATTCCACATCATTCAACCCCACATCGCCTTCACCCGAGCGATCCACAACACTTCCAGCGTACAAAACCCTTGACGACAAATACACCTTCGCCCTTTCCATCGACATTTGCTTGTTGACGGTCATGTACCACAAAGTGTTCCTTTCGGAGCTTGCCACCAATACGTAACGGGACATCTTCACACACTCCATTCGGACCAAGAGGGTTTCCATCCAAGTGTTCCAACGACATAGAATCACCATTCACCTGTAGTTTCAAGCTTGCCACCAACGAAGAGCTAATCACCGACACCGAAGCACCAGTATCCACCACAGCATCCACGACAGTACCATATACTTCCACCGGAATCATAAACGGAAAGGATTGCTTCAAAATTGTCGGGTCGTATTTGTAGTCATACACGGTATCAGTATCCAAGCTATCGTCATCAGATTCGTCCATTCCAGTACCATCATCGGATTCCAGTTCAGAGAAGTCATCTGCGCTGTCAGTATTGTCAATATCATCCGAATCATCAGAAGCCACCGTAGCAGGGAAGACTTGATTCACCATCATCGTTGCCTTTCCTTTTTCCTTCTTTGGTTTCCTTGCATAGAGGTATCGTAATCCAGCTTGTACATCCGTAGCAGACTTCCGGTATAACGAGAGTACTTGTGCCATGTTCATCCCAGCATCCACATTCTTCAGTTGTTTCCAAATGTCATATTCCTCCACTTCCACAGCAATCTTCTTCGGAGGTGCCCTTTTCTTCTTCGCCTTTGCCTTGTCCACAGTCGCCAATTCAGCATCATTCACACCACCTTGTTGCATAGTTGAAGGACCAGCCACCGCAGGACGTTTCCTAGCCCTATCATTAACAGACCCATCATCTGACCTTGCCCTTGTGTTTTGATTTGTCCACACTTGTACGCCAGTAATGGTGTAAGCCTTCCTAGTTTCGTCTTGTATCACCGAATCCATTGGTTGGCCACCAACTTGTTGTTGCACGATTTCCTGGGAATTTTTCTTCTGGACAGCAGGTATCCCACCACCTACTGCCCTTTGGCTTTTCCCGAGTCCTTTTGTTGAGAGGGAGAGGGTTGCTGCTGTTGAGGTTGCTGCTGAGGTTGCTGTCGTTGCTGATATTGTTGTCGCTGAGGCTGTTGGAATTGCTGATAATATTGCTGTTGCTGAGGTTGCTGAGGTTGTTGATAAGAATATTGTTGTCGTTGTTGGTAATATTGTTGTTCCATTTCATATGGGCATTCCCGCTTTGTATGACCCACATTATTACACAAATAACAACGCCCCCTAAAGCCATTCGTCATATTTTCGGCATTGCTTGATTGCTGGTTCATCGACGCACCTTGATTTTGTAGCATATGTATCTTCAAAGCCTTGAATTCTTCGACCAAGTTGCCGAGAGTATTTGCCACAGAATTGTCTACGCTACGACTAGAATCGATACCAGAGGGATCCACTACTTCTTCCGTACCCTTCACCACAGGTACATCCTTCGCACCGCCATACTTGCCAAAGAGTGTCTCCATCCGTTTTGCCATGGCTAACGTTTCCTTGAAGGTAGATGGGTTGCTTTTGTCCACTTCAAACGCGATTCTTGAGTCCAATGATTTCACCAGATACCTTTTCTTGTTGATATCTTCCGTGATCTTGAGTTTCGAGAATAGGTCTTCCAGTTGCATTTCCAGTTCCTTTAGAGTCATACCATTTTGTTTCAGATTTTCCAGTTGGTCCCACCATTGGTCCTGTATGTCTTCTTCAGTGAAGTAATCCTTGAACTTTGTCTTGAATTCGTTCCATTCGTTGATACTCTTCCTTGTCACTTGCCACCATTTCGCAGCGTTGTCCTTCAGAAAGGTTGAGGCCACCAAAACGGCGTTCACACCTTCAATCCCATTGAGTTGGATGTATGTGTCCATACTATCTACCCACATTGTTGCATCGTCACCGTCTTTGCCGTGGAAGCGATCTGGCTTGTCCATAAGATTTTTCAATTCCATACTGATATTAATTGCTGAGATTATTGTGTGTCCAAGGTTCAACTGTTTTCCTGCCCAGGTTCAATCCACCAAAAATGTTACGTCGCTGTAACTAAATAACTCCACAATTGAGTCAACCAAAAAAATAAAAGTAAAGGGGATAAAGCTTGTCTTTTTATTAAAATTCTAATTCACACACTGATAAACCAAAAAAATAAGACAGTCATTCATCACCAAAAAATATATAAATAAAAATAAAGTTGATACAAGTGGTAAGAAGCTATGTACTACTATCAGGGGTCACAAACACACAAAAGGGGAAATACAGGTATACTAACCAAAGAAGAGTTCTGATTGGCTGGAAATGGGCGATTGGGCTCATATAGAAGTTCCCAATGCTACAAAACATATTCGCCCTCTTGGCTCAGTTGGCAGAGCGTCTGCCTAGTAAGCAGAAGGTCATCAGTTCGATTCTGATAGCGGGCATTCCTTTTTGCAACATTTTTGGATAAATCGGACATTGATTACGTTGCCTCTTTTGTTGCGGCTAAATTTGTTATTTTAGTCCAACTGGTGTTATGTGTTACGGCCAATTTGGGTATGTAGCTTGTAACAGAGTAGTGTTTTTGTAGGTTTTTATATTTTTTTGGGTTGGATAGGATGTCTTGAGTTATCCTTTAGTATAGCTTTTGCTTGTTTAGAGCTTGAAAATAAACTTGTTCCTTGGGCGGAATTTGAAATATCTTGTTCCTGAATCGGACAAAAATAGATTTGTAAGTAGTGAGCACCAGAACTTTTGTAGATAAAGTCCAACTGTAGAGAAAGTTTATAAAAAATAAACTTGGAAGTGTAAAATAAAATAAAAATAAAAAGTATTGACCTTAGTTGGTTCAATAAAAATAAGTGTATAACACACAGTAAAAATAAAATAAAAAAGAGGACTTTGTAGTCAAAAATAAAAGGAGGTTTCTATGATCCAATAGAAACAGTAGATAATTTGGTGGTATAATAACCTTTGTACTAAGTTTTATTTGATAATATGAGAAAACTGAAAAAAACTAAAGAAAAAAGGTGGGCTATTTATACTAAAATTTAAAAGAAAAAAAAAGATGGTCGGAGGCGAGACGTGGAGGAGGCAGAAGTGATTTTGGAATATAGGGGTGGTTCAAGGTCATCAAGGGAAAATCGTCAAGGGTAGTACAGAGGCATCTTCAATCACTAAGATAGCAAAGGCGTCTGCAGGTTCACTGTTGTTGGGAGCGGTGTCAGGCCGGTTCTCGACACTAGTGTTAAGCGCTATTTTTGTTATAGAGTAGTAACTTGGGTTGTGTTTTTATAGTTTTTTATCTAAGTGAGCACCAGAACTTTTAGGCTTAAGTTCAACTTTTTGTGTGTGATAGAGGAAAAATAAAAATAAAGCGAAGGATTCAGAGTCCGTTCAGGGGCAATTATTTTTATAGCGAAGTAGAAATAATAAAATAAAGACTTCTCTATCAAAAAAAAAAAAAAAAAAAAAAAAAAGGTTCTTGATAAAAGAAATAAAAATGAAGGGTCAATCTTATATATTTGTATAAAAATAAGGACTATTCATGGATTTTCCATATATGGTGCAGTAGAGCAAGTACACCAAAAAAAAAAAAAAAAAAAAAGAATGGGGTCAAGGAATTGCACCACCAAGGTGTCCAGTAAAATACGGGAATGTTATTCAGGTAACCAAATACTGCCCGGATTATGTGACTTTCGCTATTGTTTTGCACGCGCCCACCACGACCAATTTTTAAGGTCATTCAAAATCCCGCTAACGCCTATTTTTGAGCCCAGTGTACAGTAAAGTACTGTATTGTACGGTAGACAAATATTTGAGCAGGGCGGTTTGACCAAAGCCGTCTCATGTCTGAAGCCTTTTTTCTGGCACACATAAATAAGTTTTTCTTTTTTTCCACAACCACATTCACTATACTGTGCAGTGGATAAACGTCATTCGATAAAACAAACTAAGTATGTGATGGACAATGTTAAAATAAATAGACAACGTATATTTTATTCAGGTGTAGTTATAAATCATAATTTGAGAGCTAAGCTATACTATGTACGCTAATAATAGTGCCGCGCTATCTATCGAAAGGAGCGGTCCTTAGGATTGTGTAGGGGCGGGGGTATCTCAAGTTAAAATAAACAGCGCATAAGATAAACCAGTTTGATCCAAGAGGATGCGCTATTCTACCATGAGTGACAACACTTTTATAGTGAGGGGTAAACCAGACCAAATTGTTCCGTCCTGTTTACAAAGGCATCAGGAACAGAAAACAGTTCTATCAATGTTAAGTAATGGTAGTTACTGAACCAACATGTTCATTAAGTTGCATAGTGTTGACTGTTGTAAGAAAGAAGAGAAGCAAAAAAAGGACTCGGAGGCAGTCATAGTGGGGGTAATCTAGAAAGCAAGTATCTAATAGCATATTTTGAAAAACAGCTACAATTGCAATATTATTAATTATCTCATGAATCAGAAAGCTAATGATCCAGAAGACAATAATTTGATAGTAAGGCATGTTTTATTGAAGCATATTTGAGGGATTTGTAATGGACCAAACAAAAAAAGTTGTGATGTCTCATTGTTTCAAATTCCGCACACGTGAAATATTTATTTTCTCTCTCCCGTCTTTTTTATTTATTCGGCTCTCTTTCCTTTTGATTATCTTTTTTTACTCTCCATTTTTTTTTCACCATTCAACTTCTATGGGGTTATTTTGGACGTAGAATAGTGTTAGGACTAGTTTAGAAGGGGTTTGAATTCAGGGATTACAACATGCATGGGGAACCCTTTCATTTTGGATTCAGGATTTAGGATCATCATCAGTTGGCTTTTGCAGCCTTCATTATCTTAGTTTAGTGTCAGTTTATCATAGCTTGGATATAAATAGGAATAAAATATGTCTATTTTAACTTGTCTTAGCTTGTCTCAATGAAAAAATGTTCCATTAGTCTCTTTCATGATTTGTGAAAGGAATTCCTGTTTTCTCTTCGCTCCTTTAGATTACCACTGCAATATTGTTACTCCCTAATAGAATATCCTCTTAGTCGTTCTCACAGTTAGTATAATATATTCATTTCCATTTTAAAATTGTCTTTGTAGATTAATGCACACCATTCTTCAGCTCTCACAGTAGTCTCCCTCATGCATGCTTTCTCGAAGGGATCCCTCCATCAAATCCCTTGTTACAAAGAATCCCTCGTATTTAGTTTTAGTATTTACCAATATGCTTCAATAAAATATGCTTTTTATTAACCATACTATGACCCGCTAGATAATGAATAATGCTACTATTGTAGCTGTTTTGTGGATGCCGTATTAAACATTGTGTTCTAGGTCACCCACTATGACTATTGTCCCTTACTGTTCTTATGAACTGGTTGACAGACTTAGGCAGCCTACTGTTAATAATGATAATATTCCTACTCCACTAATAATATAAATAAATCTAGGTCGCGCTGTGCGTGTAGCGGTCGCTACAAAGAGTTTTGGACAGGTTGACAGTTTTAGGTCATTCAATATGAAATGTGACCGTATTCATGCTCTACGACTCATATATATCAACCCAGGATGTGTTATCATCATGATCCTCACTAGACTGGGTGTATTGGGTGTATTATATATACCCAATTTGCCTCTTTTTTTTTTTTTTCTACTTTATTTGCGTGAGTTATATAAACAAAAAGGAAAACTGAAACCATTTGTGTCCAAGGACCGCTTATTAAGATTCAAAATGATGAAGGGAAGGGGTTTCTAATTTCATTAAAAGCTATATTTCGAGAACTAGAGAGCTGGGATTGGTATGTGACAAAACGCATTAAAAACAAATAAAATAACTTAACGAAATACACGTCAAGTGTAACCCAGGCCAGCAACACACATCAAAAATACACTACGGGACCTATCGGAGGTAGCATGAAAGAGAATGGAAGGAGATTTGACAACTGATAAATACTAATCAAAGCAAACAATTTAAAAATGAGATTTAATCTAGTATACTATATAAGCAATAAGAAAGATTAACTGAACATCTGTTATAGAAGTACAGCAACCGTCACCACTAATAAAGAAAGGGGGGGGCGATGGTAGTAAAAAAAAAGGATCTATTGTATAAGATATGAGGGAAATTAATGGGACGTAATTTTTATTGAAGCATGTAAAAAAGACATATTTTATTCAATATAGATTCAAACTATGGACAAATTAAGACTAAACCAAGCTAATGGAGGGTTCCAAAAAGTGCAACTAATGGTGGTCCTAAATCCTGAATCCAAAATGAATGGGTTTCCTCGTGCATCTTGCAATCCCTGATCTGAAAACCATTCTAAACTAGTACTGACTCTAATCTAAGTCCAACATGACCCCACGGAGGCTACAACGATCAAGAAAAAAAGGAAGAAAAAAAGAGAAAGGAAAGAAGGATAGCGAAAAAAAATATAAAATGGGCGAAACTAAACTTTCACGTGGGCGGGATTTGAAACATTTTGTATGGTTTTTCGATGAACTGCAGTTCTGATTCTGACCATTTCCCTGATTTTTTTTTTCGATAACCTTTTTCATTTCGAAAAAAAACATAAACAAAGATCCCAGATTGCCGCTGTATTGTTATATATATAGCACGTCTATACACAACAGAATAGCGATATTACCCATAATAACGACACCACTTCGCTCTCCGTTGGTGCTGTTACTGTGAGTCCTTATGATACTCTACGGTCTACCTTACGTTCTTGCCGAACTGCCCATATGCATACAGTAAATATTGTTTTTTTTTTTGAAAGTATTATAATAATGTTACTGTATGAGATCACGCAAGTTCTTTCCTTTTCGTGACACATAATTGAAGCCAGCTATTACCAATTTAAAATGGAAATGTCAAAAAAAAAATGAAGACCGCCTTTTATTGGGGCATGAGAAAAAAAAAAAAAAAGACACAAAGGGAAAATCGAAACGATCGTCCTACATTTCTTTTTTTGGCAACTGTCGACCTTCCAATATATGCCCGATACTGCACCATATATAAAAGATCATCACATCATAGATTTTTCAATATATATATATATATTTTATTAGGTCCAAATAAGTAACGAGCAAAAAAAAAGAGAGAGATATGTAGGGGATAATGAATCATCAAAGATATTAAAAAAGTATAGTGGAGGATGTAAAAAAAAAGGCTGCGATAGGATAAATAGTCATTAAAAAAAAGCGATCAAACAATGCTTGGAATAAGATAAAAAGAGATATACATGAATATAGAAATAGTAAACTAAAGAATAAATAAAAATAAATAAATAATAATAATAATAAATAATAATAGTACCAGTAACATTAGGATGCAGTGATGATGACCAGCATTAGCCAAACCAAACCAGTTAGTTTTCGCCAAGTAGCCATTCAACCATGAGAGAATCTTGATCTTGAACATCATCCCAGTCTTCATCCTGCATAAACC